GGCTTTGGGGAACCCCCCCCCCCCCCCCCCTCCCCCCCGGGACAATTTTTCAAAGCTCGATTCCTCCCCGCCAAAGAGGATGTCAAAACCAAAGGATAGTTTTCGGAAAGCTCTGGAGGAGAGGGAGCCAACACCGCCATTTCCCGCAACATTGCTGTTTTTGTTTCAATGTACAACAATCGAGCTTTGGAAATCGGTCCAGGGGTTTTTTCCCATTTCCCTTACGGTATGCAGGAGATGGGGGGGGGGGGGGTGTACTCATAGTCGTGCATGCCGTAGTCGTTAGACCATTGACCTCGCACGAGATGGGGGGGCGATTTTTCGTCTGTCTTCCTTCACCTATCCCCCCAGAACTTGATGCGACCGAAAGTATGGCAAGACGAACTGGTGATCTGGACTATAACAATGGTTGTTGGAACCCTTTCCAGTATGTGACGCGTTGCATCCACCTTCATGCGCAAATCGCTCGCTCTCGTGCGCGTGTTGGATTCTGAACCGGGGGGGACCCAATCGAGCAGTACCTCATGCACCACTACGGCAAGCTATGCGGGCTCCTGGCGCTGTCGGCAACGATGGCGCTGGTGCTGACGGGATTCTTGTCGTACCACGTCTACCTCCTCCTCAAGGGCACGACCACCAACGAGAGCGCAAAGTGGGGCGAGGTGGGTGGGGTGTACATAGGGTATTAAGGAATACTAAATACACACACAGAAAGACTACACCCGTTCGAGATATACCCACAGTCGAACGGGATGTGGTGGAGTCTTTTCAGTGAGTGGAGGGTATCGTTGCCGGGCGAAAAGACCGATCGACCAGAATGAATGGGACCCTTGCGGGTGTTTTTCGCCCGGTGACCGCCTAAAGAGTTTCCTTGAGGGCGCTCTCTACAATGGGTCGAGGGTAGGGGGGGTGCGGGGGGGGGGGTTGACTTGTGCTGTGAATGGTGGGGGGGGACGTTCTGGTGCCTCGTGGTTGAGTTAGACTTTGAAGTCCGCGATGACACAGGTTGGCTCTTCTTTGAGCGAGGCTGCAGAAGTGGAAAACCCTGGGTAATGTTTGCATCGGTTAAACGTTCTTTAGATGGCTACATCTATCTATGCACACTGGATATTGGCATGGATATCTACTACTGTGGGTTCGGTCAATTGGTGGGTGCTGCTCTTGTAAACGTGTGCTTTGTGCTGTGCTGTGCTGTACTGTACTGTGCTGTAGCGGGGGGATGCGTGACCGCGCTTTCCGGAACATATTTTTTCTACCAGATTTTTCTTGAGACAGCAGTTTACACGCGCCCAGCCACCCCCCCCCTCCCCCCCCCCCCC